ATGAGTGAAAATTATGTGCATCATTTACAGGTCCAACCCAACAAAAATCTCCCCATGAACACTCCTCCATATACCTTTTTCCTCATTGCTGTCAGCAATGGGGATGACCCCAAGCAATCTTGGAAGCCACATGTTAAAGATAGAACACGTTTGCTCAGCCTAATTCCCGGGGTAACTGTATGGAGAAGGTTCCTCAAATACATCAATACTATGAAAAGAGCAATTTAAGTCTATATTATGTATGAGTCACTTTGTTTGGGAGCCTATTTGTGACACAAAGTGGGCAGGTTTAGAGGCATTTGGATCATGAAGAAACAGATTTTGGAGGCTGGAAACACGTAGGCTCTACTTTGCAGTGGCAAAGTCTTTTAAAATGTTACATATAAAATCTTTGAGGCAGGCCCTGTTTACATAGTCTTAGCCCTAGTGGAAGTGGTTGATAAGACCTAAAATGTTGTGCTAAAGTTGTTTTTAGAAACGTATTACAAGACAAGATGAGAAAGGAATGAATCGACTGGGTTGCAAATAGAAAAGGAAGAGTGAGTTCAGAAATTTTGGGTTTCATAGGACTGTAAAAATCTCACAGCTCTTAGGTCTCAAACAGTAATAAATAAAACTGAAGATAAGTCCTTAACTGACAAAGGCCCATTAAGATTTTTCAGTTAAACAATAGGAAACTATTCCTTATAGAAAAGACCAGACCAAGGGTTTAAACTTCTGACATACGCCCATTATTTCAGATGGCTTCTAGATAGCTACTATTGAAGTTGAGGTAGTCATGGTATGACTAAGCTAATTAATTGAGTAATTAATTAAAGAAGGCATTTATGTAAGGGAAATCTTTGTCTCCGGACATCTGACTGAAAGCAAATAGATTAAACAAAATATTTGTGGTAATTGTACTTGTTGAGTTTGACAATGAAATCTGTGACATTTGAATGACTTACTGGCTTCCAAATTTGTATTATCAGGGAGTAGGCTTGAAATTTGTACCTTGTTCAGGAGGGTTTCTTCCCCAACATCTACTTCAGATGTAGCCAAGAAGGATAATAATTATGAAGAACATCCAGAGGGTAGAGCCAGGAGCCACAAAGAATGATGAATAAGGGAGTTCTTCCCAGAGCCCAGACACAGGGACTAATCAGGAACTTCTCTGTAAAGTCAGTGCCAGGGGCTTCGCATTATCTACCCAGATTTTGTCACTGCTACGGACAGTCAACAGCTATAGACCCCCTATTCTCTTTGCCAAATGAAAGGAGTTTATTCTTTCCAGCTAGCCTGACCCTAACCATTTTATATTTGGAGGTGAAGGATGGAGGAAGGCATCCATCCATTTTGTGTTTTCTGAGTTCATTTGTCATCAGACTATGAGGGACAGCAACCTGTAATCATGTAGAGAACTTATCACCCCAAATTCCTGGATCTTAAACTGGTAGAACTTAAATATAGAACTTTGAGTTGTGTCCCCAGGAAAGGGGTATCACTGTATTCTATGAGTGGGGAAAAGGGTACATATGGTGATTAAAAACAGGCATGGAGACTGTGGCCGATGCAGTGAGGCAGACCAAAATCCTTATTTTCTTCTTCCTAAGCATGCCTGAGACATCTCCCAGCCTCCTTTGCAGTTAAGTGTGATCAAATGACAAAGTTCTAGACACAGCAGTGTGAGAAGTAATGTGTGAAAACTCCACATCTAGTCCATAGATACTATCCACTCCAAACACACAGACAATAGAGAATACCCCCGGGGCAACCATGGAAAATGAGCTGAAATATTAAGATGGTGACAACAGGACACTCCTGAATTTCTCTCCTCACTACACATGGATCACTAGGTTTCTCCCTAGAAGAAATTTGCAGACTTTCACAGCTGCTGCCTGAGGATATGACTTCTAATCAGCCTGTATGTTGGAACTACCTGTGATCCTCCCAGGAGCCTGACAGAGGAGCAGGGAACATCACCTACTGTGTCCTCCCAGATCACTTCAACAATAAAACCAAATCTCCAGCTTCTCACTAGAAGCACATCCAGACACCCAGCATCCCAACTATTATGACTGGCTCCTGGAACTGGCAGGATTCAGCATTCACAAATCCCTGGGGACCACAAACACTAAAGAGGTGGTTCTAAATGTGCACACAAAGACTCCCAGTAACTATCCCCTCTGCTTAAGCACAAAGTAGGCAAAAACACCCAGCTCTGTTTCTCCCTCATAGCGGTTAGTCTGCATATCTAATGTCCTGACTTCCCAATTGCTGCATGAAGGTCAGACCTGCATCAAGGAGCTGAAGGGCAAAGTAATTAGTAGTTCTCCAGGAGCCTAACTTAGGGACACCAATGGGTCTTCACATACCATCATCTGCTGGGAGCCCCTGGGAGCCGCTAAGAACAAAAACAGTGGCATGGACAGTCACAGAGGTTTTAGTGGCAAACATGAGTTTGGGGTGGGCTGATTGAAAGTTCTCAAATAAACAACTTTATACTTCAAGGAACTACCAAAAAAAAAACAAAAACAAAAAACACTAACAAGGAGTGTAAATGAAAAGCAGAGACTACACAGACAGTAGAAAAAAAAATCAAACTACAAGCTGGTTTTTTTCTTAAAGATACACAAAACTGACAGATCTTTAGCCAGACTCAGAGTAAGAGGTAAGGCTCAAATAAAATGATAAATGAAAGACATATTATGCCTGATTAACTACAATAGTGAGAATTTGCCAATAGTCCTTTACAGACCCACTGGTGCTTACCTTTAAACTCTTCCAAAGGATCATAAAGCTAACCAGGTCATTAAAAAGTACTAAAGGGGGTGCCTGGGTGGCTCAGATGGTTAAGCATCTGCCTTCGGCTCAGGTCATGATCCCAGGGTCCTGGGATCGAGTCCCGCATCAGGCTCCCTGCTCCTTGGGAGCCTGCTTCTCCCTCTGCCTCTCTCTCTCTCTGTCTCTCATGAATAAATAAATAAAATCTTTAAAAAAAAAAAAAGTACTAAAGGGTGGTGGGAGGGGGAGAGGGAGGTCGCATGGAGCTGCCTGGGTGGCTCAGTCGGTTAAGTGTCTTAACTCTTGATTTTGACCCAGGTTGTGATCTCAGGGTCGTGAGATGGAGCCCCATGTAGGACAGTGGGCTTGAAATTCTCTCCTTCTTCCTCTGCCCCTCCCCGGCCATGCACTCACCCATGCTCTCTCTCTCTCAAAAAAAAAAAAAAACTAAATGGGAATATAAAGTCAAAAAATGGGGAATAAGAAAGATTAGGAAAGGAAGGTCAATTTAGTAGCCAATGCAGTATCAACTAGAGAAATGGTTTAGGACGTGTTACTGTTGATAGCTTACTTAAATGTGCCTACTTGGCAAAAATATGGATCAGTTATTCAAATCTAAAGATCAAAGGACAGAATAAAAACCAGAACCATGTAAAATATTGGTCCTATTCCACATTCCACTGTCAGTTTCACCTGATGGAAATCCTTCATCAGCTTTAGAGTATTAATGAGTAGAAGAGGGAGTTCATGACTACTCTTATTTGCCCAGTCCTTTCCCATTGAAACAGGACATCTACCTAACCACCTTAGCAGTAGATGGCTGCTATTTTCCCCATGGGCTCAGGATGAAAGACAGGATTTTCCTGGAGTTAACCAGTGCTGGGTGTAAGGGGTAGGGTAGTAGAGAAAGGGTAGAGGAGAATGAATCCACATACTTTATTATAGTTGGAAATGGAAGATCCAGAAACTTAATGACTTAAGTGACCCTGAATATCTTGATCTATTCTTTTTTGAATTTTCAGAAAGGGTAAATTATACCTGAATACTAAAATTACACATTTTCTCCTGGTTCTCAGAGTTGTCATTCATCTTATATTATTCTTCGGAATATTTTATATTCTCAAATATTCTAAGTTGTCTCAAGTGACTGGTAATCAGTTCTTCTAAGTGCTGTCTACACAGTGTTGCAGGGGTGGTATTCATAGAGCAAAGTAGAAAAAATTCTACCCGGGGACACACAATTACATTTTACAAATTTCATAACGGCATGTTATTTGTACCAATCACTATCAGTAGGATATAGAGAAACAGAGAGTCTCTTGGATACATTAATTGTGCTTCAAGTAGTCACTACAGCTATTCAGTGCAAGTGAGATGTGGGATATGTGAACATACGCTTTTTCAGAACTAGTAATCTGAGGATTTTGATCATAAATTACATATCTGAGTAGTCCCTGAGTGTAGAGGTTAAGTAAAATATAGGTTGGAGAAGGTAATGAAATGTGCATCACTTAAACATCAGAAGGGTATATGGCTATGGGAGATACACTATGATGTTAACCCTAAGGTTATTCAGAGTTGAGATTTTAGTAGTAGTCCAAGCTTTGGGGCCTAGCCACAGGTTTCACGGGTGTATCCCCATGCTTCCATACCTATTCTGGACTTTTCATGGGTTTACCTGGGTGGGGATTATATTATATGTATGTAACATGTCCCCCCCCCCCGCAAATTAAAGTATATGTGCGTAGGTATGTGTTTCATTTTGTTTGCTTAAAGGTCTGGGTCACTTGCAATTGAAAGAGTCCTAATACACATGAAAATCCATAGCTTGAGATTGTGGTCCTTTACAGTTATAGTATGTTATGAAGACAGAGACTTTTATGTCTGAACTGGCTTATGTAAGGAGTGCATCTTGCCCTAATATTAGGGTTAATTTTATGAAATCAAAGGGTGATATTCCTGGCTAATACCCCAGATCACATAGCAGACAAACCTGTTTTAAATACAAACTGTGTTCTCTAGGGCAAATTCAAATTATGTAATTTTACTAAGCTTCCTTTCTTCATTTCAGAGTGAAAATAATATGTTTGGCTGACCATATATAAGACAATGTGTATGACATATATATATATATGCATAACCCCTTCCGCACCTACCACCTGTTAAGCTCTAAGTGCTAAATACCCGTGGGAGCAGCAGACAGGAAGGGGCGGAGCGATAGCGGCTGCCGTGGCCAGAGCGCCGCTGGGCCGGAAACGGAGTCAGCGGGAGGCGCAGGTATGAGCCTGGCGGCTGCATGATCACCCCCACCCTGCCCCTCGCCGTCCCGGCCGTCGGTCGGGGGTCCACGAGGCCTGTGGCGACTCTCGGCGCTCTGCACTGGGGGAGCGGCGACACCGGGTCCATGGCCACCGCGGCGGCTCCGTCTTCCTTGGCCCTCAAAGCCTGCAGCACGGCCGGGATCCCCAGCTCCTACGGAGTCTTCTGCAAAGGGCTCTCCCGCACCCTGCTCGCCTTCTTCGAGCTGGCCTGGCAGCTGCGCATGAACTTTCCGTACTTCTACGTCGCAGGCTCGGTGATCCTCAACATCCGCTTGCAGGTACACATTTAGTACCGTGATTTCGCTCCGGGCTTCCCGGCCAGGACATGGCCGACTAACAGGAGGCTCGGCGGCGAAACGGAGCTGCGCGTGCGGAACTCTGGAATCTCGCGAGAGGACTTGAGCGCTCTTTGCGGCTGCGCTCTTAAAGGAGACGGTCCTAGCCGAGCCGTCGGGGCGGTGGCGGGTAGCGGCTAGAGAGAGGAAGTACGCGATTTTCTGGGGACAGCGACGAGCTTCAGTTAAGGTCTACGACATCTTTAAAACGAAAACAGAACGAACATGATGCATTATTAAAAAAAGGAGGGCTAATAAAGTTTTCAGAAAAATTTTAATGTACAAGCTCATGGCCCAAATTAAAATAAGACATAAATTTCGGGAATATTGGATTGTAAGCAAGACATTGGATGAGTAAGAAGCTGAAGATCTTAAAGATACGTGGAAGGCAAATATATTTCTTCAACAAGAGAAAACCATGACAATCAGAAATTTTCAGTGGAAAAGCACAACTGTACGGGAAAAGCGACCTTCTAATACCAAACAATGTAAAATGCTGCTGGATTTTGAACAGAGGGTTGGGAGTGTAAGAAAGTGGACTCTTTTTTCAGGGTCCCTGTGAGTAGCATGTAGTTCAAGACCTTGGAGCCAAAGAGAAGGAAATCCAGTCACACCACTAAGCTTGGCTACTTCGTCAATAACATTTAAATAATCGTAATAATTAATGTAAATGATGTTTATGGTTTTCATCTTTTGAGATAATACTTAATTGTGGTTACAAAGTAGAATGCAAATGTTATCAGCTTTGATAATGGAAAAATACAGTTTACAAGCAGGGATGTTGAAGGGGGAGGGGGAAAAATGGTAATGCTGTCCTTAGAAAGTGGGAAGTTGAGAGATCCAGTCTGTTGTCAATGGGGAAAAAAGCGTTTTATTATTTAGAGAGTAAATGACCTAAGGAGTATGCCATGAAGTTGCTAAAATCGTAATACAACTATATTAAAGAGGGAGGAGAGTAGGGGGGAGAAGAGCATGAATTCAGTAAGAAATGCGTAAAGACAAAGTTACGTGGAATACCTCAAAGAAAAACTGAGAGTACCAGGTGTGTTTGAATATAAAGACGAGATTTTTAGTTTTTCAGAGTCTGAGGATGAATTGGTGGTCTGCAGATTTTTTTTAAAAAATTAAGGAAACAAATCCATTATGAAACAGGAAAATTCAAAGTTTTTCAGGAACTACACTGTATTCTTCTGTTGCGACTAATACTAGTCATATAACGTCAGTCATAATTATGTAAAACTGAATACTAATACAACAAAAGATGATTGTGTAGTAGTGAGGGGATTGGAGAGGAGAGGTGTGTGTAATGGGGAAAAATCAGTCAAGATCTAATATAGAGGTCAGTAAAGCAGTATCAACACATTATTAAAAAAGCTACGATAAACAGAAGTGGTTGTCTCTGGAGAAAAAAGTCAGAGATGGGTAGAGAAAAGGCAGAGGATTGCTGTGTTTCACTACCAGCCTAACAGTATTATTTTGGTTTTTCTTAATTGTATATATGTATTTCTCTGATTAAAACTTAATTTAAGTAAGTTTCAGTTTTAAAAGTTTCCCCCAGGCAATTGAAATACACAACACTGGTTAAGAGCCACCACAGTAAAATGGTATTGAGTTTTTTAAATCAGGCACATCACTGTTAAAATACAAACTCTTAATTTTGTGGTGGTAGGTGAATCAGTCTCCCTAAAACCCAGTTTGCTTAACTATTAAAAGAAGATAAAAATACCTACTTTGAAAAGTCAGAGAATCAAAAATAAGCCTGCCTTAGTGCTTGATATATACACAATAACTAGTATTTGTTCTAACAAAATATCTCATTAACATGTGAGTAAAACTTAAAACTCATAGAACGCCTGTTTTTTTCCAGTGGAGCTTTTCAGTCCTAAAGGTGATCTGTAAGGTACCGACCGTGAGGGCCTGGGGCAGAGCCTCCAGAAGGATTTTAAGAGATAAAAGTCACCATTGTTTGGAGAGAGAAAGATTTATAAACTATTTGCAGTTTTGTATTCCACTAATTGTGTCCAACCAACAAGTATACTCTTGGGTTGTAAACTAAGTTCCCCCTCCAGCACCAAGTCTGGCTTTGGGTAATTGTGTTTCTTTATACTTAATTGTGGTTACAAAGTAGAATGCAAATGTTATCAGCTTTGATAATGGAAAAGTACAGTTTACAAGCAGGGATGTAACCTTTCTTTATTCCTTGTCTCCAGGCAAACTCCTGTAGTTTTTTTTTTTTGAGCACATCCTCTTTTACTTTCTTCTGCCTTCTCTACTCTTTTTTTTTTTTTTTTTTGCCTTTTGTTACTTGACCTGTATTTTTAAGCCTAAACTTAGATGTCACTTTTTTTTCATTAGTTTTTCCCAGATTCCCCTGATTGTATTAATCTCTTTTACTCCATCTAAGGGCTGTGTTAATATCAACCTATGCCATTTTCATAGGCTACCTTATTTTTGCCTAATTGTGCATTAGTTATCAGATGTGGGTTTTTGTTTTTAAATATCCAAGAGACAGTTTTCTATAATCTTTCCCTTGGTTCTTACATATTGCTGTGAGAGTTCAGGAACTAAAACATTTTAAAATATCAGCAATGTAATTTGATCAGTGAAACAATTCTGTAATGCCAGGGGACTTAAAAATGGTGAGCATCACTCTTCCCCAGAAGTAGTAGTGTCCCACTTTGTAACAAAAGAATGGGGCTGCCATTAGCCCTGGAATGGTGAGGGACAGGGATGCTTTATTCAGGTTGCTACATGAACATGTGCCTTCTTCAACCTTTTTTCTTCAGCTTAGCCTTTTGTTACACTAAAGAAACGAAGGCACTCAGCACTTCCTGTATATCACATCCTCCTGCTATACTGGATGCTCTGTGAGGGAAGATACTGTATCCTATCCAGTTTTTACAGCACATATAGTATCAGCAACTATGAAGTAGGAACTGAATGAAGGCTCCATGATTTACCCTTTATTCTTCACATTTGTTCTTACACCCAGTCTGTATTTTTCTTCCCACATTTATAACTCAGTGAAGTTTCCCAAGGGAGAAAACAAGATTTTTGCCCTGACTAAACCACTTATTCTAATTTGCAAGTATTTTTATTCCTCTTACCATCCTTCCAGGCAGCATCCATGAAGACTGTTCATTGCTTTATCCCTTGCCTTAGAGTATTACCTGATGCAATGTAGATAATAAACATAGTTGGATAAATGCCAAATTAGTTGTTTTTCTACACAGTCATTAGTCAATGAAGGAAATAAAGTTGCCCCTGATATTAAGGTCCACTTTATTGCCCATAAATTAAGCTTTTTCAGGCCATCATGAAGATTGGTCCAGAGATCCTTCCAGCATGAAGAAGCAGAGAGGTGACATAGTTCTCACAAATAAAGAAAAAACACATTCATAAAGTGTAATTGATAAAAATACTGGGGAATGTGGACTGTGTTACAGTTTAAAAGGGAATGGTGATCATAGTAACATATATAACTTGAAGGTTAGGGAATAAGTTTTTTTTTCAGTTGAGGGCAAAAATATGTGATTGCTTGGCTAAAAGTATATCCTTATTATCAGCATCATTTTTTAATTTTGTTGAAGTTTTTTAAGATTTTATTTGTCAGAGAGCGCACAAACGGGGGAGAAGCAGGCTCCCTGGTGAGCGAGCCAACCAAGGGTTCCTTACTGAGTTTTTAATACCAGGAACTGCAAAATTATTTACATACATGATCTCTATAATTCTCATGTATATTCTATGAGGAAAACATTTTCACCATCATTTTTCAGATAAGGAAACTGGAATTTAAAGAGGTTAAGTAACTCCCCAACGTCATAGTAGTTGGCCAAACTAGAGTTGAACCTCCTTTATTCCTAAAGATACTTTTGATGAGGGATTCGATTTTTTTAATGTATAGGTAATGCTGAATAATGCTTTGGCTTTTTTTTTTTTAATAATCCTGTTTCTTAAATTTAAAACAAGGATTACCTGGATCATAGTTGGCAATATCTTTTTTTTTTTCAGTATAGTTGAGGGCTTTATGTATTAGAATGTAAACACTCAATATACTTTGATATGTAAATCCAAGCATTTTATACTTTCTGCTGTCTAAAGTCATTTGGCCTGTTTGTGGAGAGAAAGGGGATGAAAGGAGGTAGAGAAAAGGACATGACCCCTAGGATTGAAAAGGAAACACTTACCCCTAAGGAGTAGAGATGATAAGGTAAACATGAATTTTGAAACTATCCATCACTCCTCTGAGGCTTACTTAAATTTTCTGTTACAAAGTCTTACAGTCCTATTTTAATGGGGGCTTTTCCTGGTTCAGCATTCATAGATTCGATAGCCAAAAAGAAAATAGGACTTACACATGGAGAGGTAAAGGGGTGGGAATGGAAAGTTTAGGAATATAGGAACAGGAATATAAAAACAAAAGGAGACAGGAAACTGCCAGAAACAGCCTGGAAAGTAGTCTGAAGAGTAGACTTGGAAGGTTTCAGGCAAGAGAACCAAGAAAGGAACCCCTGCAATAACTAGAGTTTCCAGTAGGGTTCAATTGGTTCACATCAGTTGGGTTGGATTATCATGAATATGGGAACTTCTTGCAATTTTAATAAGAATTCTTCAATAGCCGATTGCCGGGCAAGATTACCACCAAACCAAGTCATGAGTCTTTACAAATGAAGTCCACTTCTCCCGCCTCCAATCTCAGCAATGCTCTGGGGACCATCAAAAGGCCAAGGACATTACTGAGTGCCTACAACAAATGATAAGAAGAAACTATTGAATTCTTAGTAGCTTAATTGCAGTACATCTGAGGGCACCCCTGCCAGTTCCTATCCTAATTAGGGATCTGCATTAGAAAATTTTGCCCATCTTTATGGCTTTCAACTACCAAGTATGTGGATTTATTCACAGTAGGTAGTGGAGGGCATCAATGAATAAAGAGAAATGAAGGTTGTTCATATATTGAATGAAATAGATTGGGTATACCTTTTCATA